AGATTTTCTTTAATAAGTTAAATAAGACCATAGATCCATAATAATATACAATACTTATAGTTATTTTTTATTTACATTACAATAATATTTTTCAATTTTTCACATGTCCTATTACGTATATAGAACAATAGTAATTGTCTATAAAATTATTTAAGAAAATAATTAAGAATGAAATAGGTGAAAATATTTTTTATATATTGATGAATAGAAACTTTGGTGTGGGGTTAGATTGACCTAAAGAGATAAGAAGATAAATAATATATGATAAAACATTCGTTAATCAAGTAATTAATTTTTAATTTAAATAATGTTAATTTTAAAACAAATTAAATTATTGATTTTTTTACTATAAATATGCCAAAAAAAATATTCTCTCTAAATTTAAAATCACATATCTCTTCTATCTTAAATACTTTATTATTAGCTTCTTTTTAAATTCAAAAAATACATATCACTTTAAGCCTATCAACAATATTTTCTAAGTTATTTTTTCAAGTATTCATTTATATTGCATTTATAATTTTGTTGTTTATTTTACTTATATGATTTCTTCTTTTGATATTATTTTTATTCAATTTTTTTATGTCACGTATTTCTCAATTGATATTTTGTGAGTATTTTGATCAAAATCATAATTTAGTAAAGGTATGTCAATACTTCTTTTATTATTTAATTGATCATTCAATATTATATTTTAATTTTTTTAAAAAAATTAATTTATATTTATTAATAAATCCATCTTCTACCTCAAAGTCTATTTTTAAAATTTGAATAAAACTTTGACTAGATCTCTATTGTTTAAAAAAAAAAAAAGAATCAATTGGGTTGAGACAAATCAAGACTTTTACTTTTACTGATTATTTTTTTTATATAATTTATCTAATAAACATTTAAATAAAAAAATCAAACAAAAATTTATAAATAAAAAAAATATGTAGATTTTGGAGGAAAGGTGAGGTGCCACGTGTACAACGCCACCTTCCTCCAATCTCTACAAAATTAATATTATAGATTTAACTTTTCATCACTTTATGAATTTCTGATTAATTTTTTCTTCTCTTACCGTTGTTAGCTATCTAATTTCTTTTAGCTTTTTTATTTACTATGATTTTAGTCATGCTTTAGTTTTTAATCCTAATCTTCGAGATGGATTTAAAAGGGCTTTTACATTTTGTAAAAACTTACTAAGGTTTTTACTGAATTTTTATTTTAATATTTTTTTAAATGATTACTCTATTTTTTGAATTAATTTATTATATAAATTGAACTTTAATGATGAACTGGGTAATAAGTTTCAATTAGAACCGAGCTTAAAAAAAAGTTGAGATCTGAAGCATCAAGCTGAGTTGGGCTTAATAAAACAAATAAGTTGTTAATATCAAGGATAAGTCCGACCTTACTTAACAACCCATAGACAACCATTTGTCGATCCTCGAGCAAAAAAAGTTAGAACATCGAAGAAACTAAAAGCAAGCAAGAGGTACCAAGGAATGACCACCAACGACCTAGGAACGTAATGCATACTACGCCTAAAGCCACCGAGTTTTTACTAGGCAAGTCAACCTTAAAATTAGAGTCCTGCTTGCCTGCTGACCTTGTTTTTTCTTTTTTATTAAGTCATAAATAATTTTTAAATTATAATAAAATATTTAATGTAATATTTAAATTTAAAATTTTTTTAATATAATATTTAAATTATAAATTTATAAATTAATATGATATTTATAAAATTATTTATTCATTATGTATTATTATTTAAAATTAATTATAAAAATAAATGTCATATTGATTAATAAATTTATAATTTATATATCGTATTAAAAAATTTTTAAATTTAAATATTACATTAAATATTTTATTATAATTTAAAAATTATTCATTCATTATACGTGCATTTTAAAACAATTATCTAAATAAATTCGAAGTTAGAACAAACTAGAGATTTTGAGGTGCGTTTGAAATATGCTATAGCAATACTACAAGTCAGGAGGTAGCACAAACAACAAAAGCATGAAATATTTTTTATGACCTTAACTGGCATGGACTCTATAATTGCCCACAGCTAGGGAGACTAAAAAAGGCATCCCTCCTCTTTGCTTTTTGGCTTTTAAAGATTCTTCTGAAATGTTATGATTTCTCCACTAGAAAAAGGGAAGCCATTGTTGGCACTTCTTTTAGATTTATAAACCCATTTATTAATTTTATTTTCTCTAATTTTTTATGGTATACATTAGCGTTTATTATCTTTTAAATTATGAATTTTTCTTTTCAATCAATCAAAGAAATGCATTCATATTAATTATTAGGTTTAATACTCATTTGGTTTTTGAATATGTCATCGATGAAATAATAAAAATTTTGAACAAAAATACATTAAAAATTTCAAAAAAACCAAATAAAGGACAAAAAGTTCAAAACTAAAAATGAAAAAAATTGTTCCAAAATCAAAATTAAAAAAAAAAAAAAAAAAGAAAATAGAGTCGGAGAAAATGAGGGAGGTGAATAAGGGCAAATAGAGAGAAGGAAAAGAAAGGAGGAGGGAAGGAGGTAACTTACCACTAAGCGAACGATCAGAGGTTGATCAAATAGTCTCTTTTTCGATCCCTTCTCTCCCTTTTTTTTTTTTTTTTTTTTTCTCTTTCTAATTCTCCCTCTCCTTCGTATTTTTTTTCTATTATTTAATTTTTAAATAATAATATTTTATTTTTAAATAAAAATTAAAAAATAACATTACATTTTTTTATCATTTATCATAATTTTATTGAATATTTTTGAAATGTTGATCATTTTGACTGACACTGTTAGTAAAAAAAAAAAAAAAGCGAAATATTCAAACAAAGTACACTTTAATACCTAATTGTAATTTTTTTTTTTTACTTGTAAAATTGACAGAAGTGGAATAGTTTAAGAATAGAATGAGTATGTAACCTAATTATTATGCTAACCGATTTCTTTCTATATGTTTTTAAATAAATTTCTTTCTATAGTAATAACAAAAAGAATTCAATTACATGCTCTGAACTTTGCTGCAAATCAATTGTACATTAGTTGTTTTCCTCTTTTACTTTTTTAACAGTAATTCATCTAACATGTTTTAGTCATTCAAATTACATATTTTAAACTTTGCAGGAAATCATTTGTACATTAATTGTTTTCTTCTTTTATGCCTTTTAATCCTTTTAATTGCATAGAATTTAGTTAACCATATATTTTGTTTAGTTATTAGTCACTCTTTAATTTTTTTTTATTTTATTCAAATTTTAAGCTCTTATTTTATTTTATTTTTTTAGGAGAGAAGATAAAGGATTTGGACTCAACTCTTTGAATAAGAGAATTCATGCACTATCTTAAGTCAAATGTTCAAGTTAAATATATATATATATATATATATATTTATACATGTATGTTCAAATGCATGAGATTTTTATATTTATAATAATATTTAATTTAATTCATTAAAAATTTACATTAATATTTGTATTTTTTTCTTTTTTTATTTTTAATTAAATTTATATATTTAATGTTAAAATCTTTGATTTGATTTTTAATTTCATAAATTGAAGTTACAAAATTTCAAAATAAAAATTATAATTTATCATCAAAATTTTCAAATAACTTTTTAACCCCCATCTCAATTTAGAAAAGTGTATTATTAAATATTTAAGATATTGAAATTTTAATTAAATTCATTTCATAAATTTAACTGCTTAATTAGTAAAAAAAAGAAATTTGTTATATGGAAAAAAAAAAGTTTACATAAAACTCAAATATAGTAAATATTTATAGATCTCAAGAAATTATAAAAAAAATTAATAATTAAAATAAAGTGTAATTGAAATTTAATAATAAACCCAATCAAAAAATTAAAGAAATTTGAAATTAAAGACAAAATTATGAGTTAAGAAGTCAAACAGGAAAAAATTCATCAAATTCTAAACCGTTCTTCAATCTCTTAAATAGTTTTCTTTTCCATACATACATGCATCCATGATTAAAAAATAGATTAAAAACTTCATTTATTAAAATAACCAAAAAACTCCAATTTAAAATTTTTATCACCATGATAGAATAGATTTAGAGTAACTGCAATTGAACTAATATATATTAACAAAACGTTACCTGAAAATCAAAAAATAAAACCTCACACACCTCAAGGAAATAAAAAAAAATGCTTCTTTTTTTTTTTTTTTTCTGAAAAGATCAATCTTTTGTTTTTATGGATAGTATAAATCATTGTCAAAAGATAATAAGAAAAGAAAATTTTAAGGGAGGACATAAAATTTTGCCAAAAAATATCAATGAAAAAATATTCTTTTAGATGAAGAATTTGAAGAAATTTGAAATGGAATAAAAACAAAAAATCTTTTTGATAGAATAGAATAGCAAAAATCTATTATGTTTACGATTATACATCAAATATTTTAAACTATAAATAATTAAACATATATTTATCCATTTATTTAAATGGATGCTTTTATTTGGTTATTTAATTGAATATTTTAAAAGTATATTAACATGAATATTTTTAAATTCTTTAGCCCAAATTTTTAAATAGAAATTCATGCATGTTCTTACTAATTCAAACAAATTTGAATATTTTTAATAGATTTAAATAATATTAAATAAAATAAATAATCATATACCTTTTTGCCCGTTTTCAAATTATATTTAAATATTTATTATTATTTAATGATTTCATTTAAAAGTTTTTTATATTTGATTACTTTGATAATATATATGATAATTATCTATTATTACCTATGTGTCTTTCAAAAACACTATCCACCAGAACATCACTGTAAAGAAATTTTATCAGGTTTGTATGTTATAATATAATATTATATATGATATAAATATAGTACAAATATATTACTTTTAATCCTATCTCTGCTAAGACAAATTAAACTATTACTTTATTTCAATTTAGTGTTCTCATTATAAATTTTATTTTTTATTTTGATTTTATTTAAATATATATTACTTTTACCCTAGCTCCACTAAGACAATTTTAGGAAAAAGTATCATTATCATAGATTCAGTATTCAGATGAAATGACCAAAACTTCTGAAAAATTATATACTTACAGTTTAATAAGCATATTCCCAATCAACATCACTCGCCTACCAGAAGGTGAAGTGAAATACACATTCAAATCAATCCCCTTCCAACCCCCCACCCCCCTTTTTCATTATAGTTGTGTGTGTATATGCCATAGATGCTTGCTAGAATACCACCTCTTTGTTTAAAGACCAAAGTGCAGTTAGTATTTGAAATTTGTGGCTTTTGGAAAAAGCTAAAGGGAGCAGTAAGATCCCAAAGGAAGACGGTGACAACGACCATACTATCTACACTCACTGTAGGAATGAGTTTAAACGGAGGAGGAATAGAAAAGACACAAGGATCACTTATTCTAAGGTCTTCAAAAGCCTAAACAAACCTGCCGCTTCTCTAATCCTTGAAAACTCAATGCAGAAGGCTTGAACTTCAATAAACAGATCCTTAACTGCAAAATTAAAAATAACCAATCCTAATAATCAAAAGACTGACGCCAAACATGAATAACTTTCACCAACAAACTAAATCCAGCATATGACATAGAATAACATACCACTATGCACGCACACACAGATCAAAATGACAAATAACATAGCATCTTTCACTAAAAGTGCAATACCATACCTACCATCAATTACTCTGTTTCTGATTAAACTCTGTAAGAAAACACATACAAGTCGCACAAGTCTGTTCTGCATGTACTTGTCCTGAAATTTAAAATGATTGTAACAACTGATGGACTAAACCTTGTCTAAAAAGAAGAGCAAAAACTAAAGTGCAACAGGCAAGTTGACACTTTTAACTTTAGCAGAAATTCTCAATAGATATTTTACTCTTATAGAAACAGCATTGGTAACGTCAACTGCAAAAGGATCAGACTAATACAGCCTTAAGCCAAATTTTGAAAATAAAGAAAGTCCAGTTACAGACAACAGCTTGCTAAGCAAGCATTCATTAATCATTAAAAATCATATCATTCTATACAAGGAAATATTAAAATTAAATCAAACATTCAAATAAATAAAGGAAGCAAAGGAATAAATACTGCTCTAGTAGCTAAAAGACAAAATGGGTATTACCTAAAGTGATAAGTAATTATAAATAAAATGGACAATAAGACGAAAACTAGGAAGAGAATACTTAAATTTTAATGGTGAGGTAGATAAGAAAAATTAACAGTAAGAAAAGAAGGAAAATTTTAGAAAAAAGAAAAGAAAAAGAAAATCAGTCAATCAAAAATGTGGTCAAATGATGTGCACCAAAAAGCTTATATCAATAGAAGTGCGGCATCAATATGACAGTTGACATAGCATATTTCACAACATTTCTGTCAGGTGACCAAAAAAATGATTCTTAAAATTTTAGTTTCTTGACCGTTAGAAGAATGGGAATATTTAGTTAAGAGGATAAACTAGGGATACAATTTTTGCAATTTGCCCTTGTTAAGTTAGAAACACACAGATAGCAAAGCACTGCTGCCCTCTTCCCTAACCCTTCTACATGTGAAGACAAACTACTTTTTCAGGTGTCCACACAGAATATATCTTACAATGGTTTAAGGGATTTTTCTACCAATTAATGAAAATTTCTCAAGGAACTTTAAAAAGGCCGAAGAAATGACTGCAACTATTAGGTAGTCTTTCCCATGCTGCTCTTGCCTTCCTCTTTATCATGTCTTTTTACTCTTTCTTGAGGTCCCAATCCTCACTCTATCAAATACCTAGATTGTCATCTTGTCTCTAGCACCCATTCAGTCCCATGTCATCAAACCATTAGAACTGATTCCACAACCCAACACAATTGCAGGAGACATGTCCTAGATGAATTTTTTTCATCTTCAATCATAAAGCATGCCACACATCCAACCCAGTTGAAAAAGAATATATATATATATATAAAGACACACACACACACGCACAACACAAGACACAAAATATATATATAAGTACCTTGATGTTCTCGCAGGATGATATACAATTAGTTATGTACATACGTACAAATTCCTTTGGAAGTTCAACCACAGTTGTGAGCCTGTTCACAACTTCCATGGAGTGTAGACTCGTGTCCATGTTAACAAGAACTGTAAAATACCTGCATACACATTTCCATGCACATGTACACAGAAAAAGAAACTTCACATATTAGAAATAAAATGTAGATTGGATGTACTGAACAGAAATTTCACTGATTCACCAAATACATACTCAGCAATTTCAGGAGAGTTTATCAACTTGGTCAGAACCTCAACAGCAATAAGCGGATTGTTTTCCACCAATTCCTGAAATTAAGGGGTTGAATGTTAAGACAGCATCACTACATAGTAACGCGCTGTGGGAAAACACTTATTTATGGCTAATTGTAATCTTATAATTTGTATATTTATATTTGTATCCCTAGAATTAAGGACAAAAAATTAGGATAGACAATCTCTTAATTATAAGATTAGTTTTTTAGGAAGATTTAGTTTCCTAGTCTAACCCCTAGTTAGTTGTATATAAACCTAAGGTTCTTGTATAATTATATATGAGCAGTTTTTCAATATACATTCAGTTTCCACACTGATTTATTTCTTAATTTTTCCACATGGTATCAGAGTCTTAGGCTCTTTTTGGGAAGCAAAATTTTCAGCCTTCATTACTGACTTTTTTAGGCCTTCATTGCCGAATCCTGTTTACTACCACCCAATTTGAGGAAATATTAACTGGGAAAATCATTGGAGTACTACAGATATCTCAGAAACAAGGAAAGTTCGACAAGGAAGAGATTGAAAAACTGAGAAATTTATTGAAAATCCTTGAAAAGCCTACTGTGGTATGTTCTTTGGGTAAGGCTTCTAGTTCAAGTAAAACTTCCGGTTCTCATGGATTAAATGTCTCAGCTAAGCCTATTACAAGTTCTTGGATCATTGACTCAGAAGCCACAGACCACATAACACATTCCTCACAAAAGTTTAGTACATATAACATGTCTCCTAGTAATAAGAAAATTGTTGTTGCAGATGGTTCACTTACTACAGTGGCAGGATTAGGAAATGTTCAAGTTAATCCCTCGTTTGTTCTAAAAAATGTTCTTCATGTTCCTGGATTGTCTACTAATCTTATATCTATACAAAAACTTACCAGAGATATGAATTGCAAAGTAACTTTTTATCCTTCTTATTGTGAATTTCAAGACCAGAGTTCGAGGAAGATGATTGGACTTGCTAAGGAGAAGGATGGACTATACTATCTTGAGACATCAAATAACACAAGTAATATCAAGAATAGTTTACCTTTGTCATTTCTTTCTGAAAAATCTTCCAATAAAGACAAAATCTGGCTTTATCATTTTCGTCTTGAACATCCTTCTTTTGGAACCTTGAGAAACATGTTTCCTTCTTTGTTCAAAGGATTAAATGTCGAAGATTTTCATTGTGATGTTTGCGAACTTGCAAAGCATAGACGTGTGTCTTTTCCAATCAGTAACAAAAGAAGTTCTACTCTTTTTTACTTGATTCATAGTTGGGGTCCTTCTACAATTCCTAATATTTCTAGTGCGAGATAGTTTGTTTCATTCATAGATGATTGTACCAAGGTCTCTTGGGTTTCTTTACTTAAATTCAAATCAGATGTGAATAGTGTGTTTTTAAGCTTCCAAAACATGATCCAAAATCAATTTGGAGTGAGAATCAAGAGATTTAAGTCCGATAATGCAAGAGACTACTTCAACCAAAGTTTATCTACCTATTTCCAAAAAGAGAGGATTATCCATGAGTCATCTTGTGTTAATACTCCACAGCAGAATGGAGTGGCAAAGAGGAAAAACAGCCATTTACTAGCCACAACTCGAGCCTTTCTTTTTCAAGCAAATGTACCTAAATTTTACTAGAGGGAAGCTGTTCTCACTGCCACACATATTATAAATAGGTTACCTTCAAGTGTTTTGGGATTTAAAACTCCTATGGAACTACTCTCACAATTTTATCCCAACCTCAATACCACAAACAATCGCACACCTAGGATATTTGATTGTACATCATTTGTTCATGTTCACAGTCATAACAAGGGAAAGTTGGATCCAAGAGCGATTAAATGTATTTTTGTGGGGTATTCTTCAACTCAAAAAGGATATAAATGCTATCATCCTCTTACCAAAAAATTCTGTGTCTGCAGATGTCACTTTTGAAGAGAAAGTAAACCATTTTTTACTCAACCTTATCTTCAGGGGGAGACTTCATTCATGGAAGATAAGGATAAAGATTTCTTTTTGCTTGATTTGTCCCATTCTTCAACATTTACACCCATTAATTCTTCTGAGTCGAAACCTGTTTCTGCTGAGCCCAAGTCAAACACTGAATTTGAGTCTGAACCCATTCCAAATACAAAAGATGTGACAAAGGATAATATTGTTTTTGATTCTATGAAGGAATTATAGGTGTACTCAAGAAGGAAAGTTCCAGATCCTGAACCAGTACCAGTCCAAAAACCTGATCCTAACTCTGGAAATGAGGTAACTACAGTTTTTGACTCTGTTTCTCAAAATGAGCATGAATCTCTTAAAACTATAACTAGTGATTATGATCTGCCTATTGCCATTAGGAAAGGAACCAGAGAATGTACTAAGCATCCACTATACCCAATCTCTAATTTTGTGTCATTTGAAAATTTCTCACCATCCCACAAAAATTTTCTTGTGAGCCTAAACACTATTTCTGTTCCAATTATATTATCTGAGGCATTATCCAGTGAGAAATGGAGGCAAGCCATGAAAATAGAAATGGAGGCCTTAGAGAAAAATCAGACATGAAAATTGGTAGAGTTGCCTAAAGAAAAAAATCCAATGGGGTGTAAATGGGTTTTCACTGTAAAATACAAAGCAGATGGTACTATTGAAAGGTATAAAGCCAGGTCAATGGCTAAGGGCTACACTCAAACCTATGGAGTGGATTATCAAGAAACCTTCGCTCCAGTTGCCAAGATGAATACAATTAGGATTTTGTTATCATTGGCTGCAAATTACAATTGGCAGCTTCAATAATTTGATGTAAAGAATGCTTTTCTACATGGTGATTTGGAAGAAGAAATATATATGCAGGTTCCACCAAGATGTGGAGGTCATCTAGAAGCAAACAAAGTATGCAAGCTAAAAAAGGCTTTATATGGCCTTAATCAGTCTCCTAGCGCTTGGTTCGGGAGATTTGCCAAAGTGATGCTAGCAATGGGATATAAACAGAGTCAAAGAGATCACACATTGTTTATCAAGCACTCTGATTCAAGGAGAGTCACAGTTCTATTAGTGTATGTTGATGATATAATTGTAACTGGAGATGATGAAAAAGAGAAAGAATCTTTAAAATGGTGTTTGGCTAGAGAATTTGAGATAAAAAAGCTAGGGAGATTGAAGTACTTCCTAGGAATTAAAGTAGCTCACTCACGGCATGATATCTTCATCTCACAAGGATCTTCTGAAAGAAACTGGGAAACTCGCATGTAAACCTACAAATACCCCTATAGATCCTAATCATCAAATTGGAGAAGCTAATGAAGATGCTGTTGTAAATAGAGAGATGTACCAAAGATTAGTTGGAAGAGTCATTTATCTCTCACATACTAGACCTGATATAACATATGCTGTGTGTAGTAAGTCAATTTATGCATAGTCCTAAAAAAGTGCACCTATAGGCTGTCTACAGTATATTACACTATTTGAAGGCCAATCCTGAGAGAGGTATCTTATTCAAAAAAAATTCGGGGTAGTTCTAGAAGCATATACAGATGCTGAGTATGCAGGTTCAGTAACTGATAAAAGATCCACCTCAAGCTACTGCACTTTCTTAGGTGGTAATCTTGTGACTTGGAGGAGTAAAAAACAGAATGTGGTGGCAGGATCAAGTGGGATGGACCAATGAGACTCTACTGTGATAACAAGTCTGCAATAAGCATTGCACACAATCCTGTGCAACATGATAGAACAAAATACATTGAAGTAGATCGGCATTTCATAAAGAAGAAACTAGACAGTGGGTTGATTTTTACATCTAATGTATCAACCAAGGGTCAACTTGCAGATGTGTTGACTAAAAGTCTCAGCAGTGCAACATTTCAAGAAATTATTTCCAAGCTGGGAATGGAAAACCCCTATTCACCAGCTTGAGGGGGAGTGTGAGAAAACACTTATTTACTGCTAGTTGTAATCTTGTAATCTGTATATTTATATTTGTATCCCTAGAATTAAGTATTTGTATCCCTAGAATTAAGGAAAAAAAATTAGGATAGACAATCTCTCAATTATAGGATTAGTTTTTTAGGAAGATTTAGTTTCCTAGTTTAACCCCTAGTTAGTTGTATATAAACCTAAGGTTTTTGTATAATTATATATGAGCAGGTTTTCAATATGCATTCAGTTTTCACACTAATTTATTTCTTAGTTTTTCCACACACACCAAACTGCAAAATTCTCAAATAACATACAGGTAGCTTCCTTGGAGTCAATCCACAATGATAGACAAGCTTGGGGTCATTAGCCAGCTCCACCAAGACTTGCTGAACAGAAAAAGACAAAGTTTAGCCAGCTTCCAACCACAGAATCATCAGTGTGCCCAATTTAAATACAACTGAAGTTCATCAATTAGCAAAATGTATTTATACTAGCATTAAATAACCATCCTGTGCATTTTCCCATAGATAAGATGAACCACGTTAAATAAGCTGCCACTTTACCAAGTAAAGAATATTTGACATATATTTTAATGAGATTTACATCTAATGACAAAAAAGTCATTTGACTTGGTTTACCTTTTAAAATAAATTTATAACAGACCAACTTTATTATCCAAAGTGACCCAATTAGGGATGGCAACGGGTTGGGTCGACGCGGGTTTTTGCTCGCCCCGAACCCGACCCGATTTTATAACCATAAAATCCGTACCCGTACTCGACCCGAAATTTTTTTTATTTTTTTTACCCAAACCCAACCCGAACCTAACATTGTATAAACCGTACCCGACCATATCCAACCCAAAATTAATAAAATATTATTTTTTTAATATATAAAATATTATTTTTTAAATATAAATATATATAATTAAAAAATTAAAAAATAATTTAAAAAATAATTTTTTATATAATATCGGGTCGGGTTAGACTAAACCAGAACCCGACCCGAAATCCGATTTTCATTAAAAAAAAAAAAAACCGACCCTATAGAGTCGGGTCGGGTCGGAACCCGCCGGTTCCGGGTTGGACTGCGAACCCTAGACCCAATACACCTACTACAAAATCCAAACAAAACAATAACTAAGACCAAATATAAACTAGCTATTGCTAGAACAGGTTTTCTACATCACAAGGTGTGTACCTCTTCCAATGAATGTAAATCAGAATACATCACCATCTTCAACAGTTCTATATGGGGTATAACAGATTTACATAAGATGGGCTTAACTGTGTAGTTAAGTAATTTACCAACAAACAGATTCATTTTAGCACAGGACATGTAAGGATTTCTTCATTATAACACATCAAAATTGAGACAATGCTTTGAATTCAAACATGGGAGATAAAATGATAAATTATTATTAATAGTTACTTCAGACAAGCATTTTAAAGAGGCAGATCCAAGTATCAAACTCAAACTTGAGTGATCATCATACAGATTGTTATTATCATGTTAATTCCTGTAATCAGATGGCCTTTTTGATGTGTTGCTTTAAATTGTCGTAACATAAGAGCTAAAACCCAGATTATGATCTAATCTATACCTAAGTGTCCAATGTGGTAAAAAATTTACAATGATTCAATTAAAGATTATCTTATCAATTTAGTTTAATTAAGGCAGATCAACAATGAAACAGAGATCATTGATACTTGTGCCATCATGTAGGGTTGATAATGATTTGGTTTGGTTGATTTTGAAAACAAATTTCGGCTAATGTCTAGTATTCTTATTTTCAGAAACTGCACCGAACAAATATTAGAACCAAACTGACCTGAATTAGTTTTTTTGCTCAGCCCTATATAAATTCACATTAATAGTGGAGAACTTAGAGGTTCTGTAATTGTGGTAATAAATGTTAATTAATCATTACAGTACACAATTACCCAAATCAATCCCAATTAACTATGATTAATTTAATTTGAAAATTACACAAAAAAAAAAAAAGTTTGACAATTAATGTTCGGTCATACTTTCTCTCACTGCTCTCAACTTTCATTGTCTTCATTGCCACCAATGACAAGATGCCAATCCAAATCAAGCTTAACATCATATCATTTACAGCAGCAAAATCTTATCCATATCCCATTACCATATAGCAGCAACTAAAATCAGCCATTTAGATGAAAGGACACCAAAAAGTAAACAGAAAGATTTGGAGATCTGGAAAAATAGAGAAAGCTTTAACCTCATTGCCATCAATATAGAACAGCAATAGTGCCAGGTCTCACCTAGCAAACTCTTGGTGCAAAAGAATGCAACAGGCAGTAAAGTCAATTTCTAGCCAAAAAATAAAAATAAAACCCAGCCCCCCCCCCCCCCCCCCTCGATCCAATCACTGTTAAAAACTCCACAAACAAGTTTAATTTGATTGACAGATGTCTATTTAACTACATCTGTTAATTTAATAATTCAGTGTTGACTTCCTTTTTTTTAGTTTAATGGATGTATGGCAAATATATAAACCTGCTTGTGGAGTTTTTTAAATTCCACCACTGTTAAATAGGACAACAATCCATTTTCTTTTATAACTACCAATCTACCACATACTGGTGCAACACAATCAAATGAGAGTAACAACTACCAAGCCTTTTCCCGTTACATGTGTTGCGCCACTTAGCAGCATAACCTATTTTGAAACATATCCACAACAAGTTCAGTAAAAATGAGGTCCTTGTTTATAGTTTCCATCAGTCCTCTTTAGTCTAGATTTCCCCCTTCAGAAATAGGTAACCTCCACTGAATCACATCATCTAACAAGAGCATTTGCAGGTCTCTTTTATAACTACCAATCTACCAAATACTGGTGCAACACAATCAAAAGAGAGTAACAACCATCGATCCTTTTCCCATTACATGTATCATATTGTGCCACCTAGGACCATGTCCTAATTAGAACCATATCCACAATAACTTCAATAAATAGAGGTCCTTTTTCATATAGCTCCCACAGACACTCTTTGGTTTTGATTTCCCCCTGCTGAAGTAGGTACGCTTCATTAAATCATATCTTTTAACATGAGCATGTGCAGGAATCTTATTACATGTATAAACAGCCTTGAACATGTTGCCCTAATTTTTTCATTGATTGGTGCAACCAACAAAAAGAAAAGCGTGAGCCCAAAAAGTGAAAAGAGAACTTAGGGAGAGCACACAAGCGTACAAGCCAGTTGTGCTCAGCAAATGGACAGAACAGTTGCAAACCAGAAAGGATGAAAAAGAGCAGAAAAAAAAGGAAAAAACAAAAGAATTAAAAAAAGAAAGAAAGAAAGAAGAGCAAAACGGTCTGTGTAAGTGGATAGAGAAGGAATGAAAGGATAAATTACCCAAATGTTTTTCCTTGATCTTTTCTTTTATTAAAGATTAGGTTAAGTCAAGTTTATTAGTTGATTAATTAGTTTTGCTTCTGTTTAATGTTTAATTTTTAGTATTGCAAGACTTATGGCACGCAAATGGAATGGGCACATTCTAGCCACAGTTCCATGTGTCCCAATTAGCCAGAAAAAGATACAATCTATTCCGCCACAAAAATGCCTCAATGGGACCAAGTTTATAAGATGAAGACTTTAATTAGACTAAATCAAAATTAGATTCTATAATGAACATCTTACTGAGAGTTAGATCCTAATTCGGCTTTTCTTCTAATAAAAGACTTGATCACACTGCCATCAGTCGCACCATTCAGTTGCCTCTACGCTATATGAGAAGTCTCAGCATAAGGGTTGTTAAAGTTCACTTTCGCCTTGGAATATTTGCAGCAAACAACTTAAGTAGAATGTAGGTTTTATTATGATACCATAGGTATCATGAACATTTAAATTAATTGATATTTATTAAAAGCAGTCCCAAAGAACTAATCACTTGATGCAAATAAAAGAAGGCCCATCAAATCCAAAGACCAAAACAATGATGTCACGTAGCTTTTACATAAATAAATGCATAAGAGATGGTCATTATAAGTGCAAATATATATTAAAGGGTATGAAACCTCTTGTTGTTTGGGTGCAAGTGATCCCTTCAAAGCCTTTGCAATTAAGTCTCTCACTGCTGCTCCTCTGCTAGTATCAGCACACATCCCTTGATCCCATTGAAGCTCATGATTGTTATCAGGGTTGAGCCACACAAGCTGAAAAATTCTTGACAGGTAAAACAGGTGAACTCCACTAACTAATTAAATAACAGCCCCTCAAAAAATGTTTTACCTCCTTCTCATCCACTGGGAACCTAGGTCGAACAGGCCTCACGCAATGTGGAATTAACCCCTCCAATGACAAATTAGCTACCAATCCACTTAAGGCTTCATCTCTGTCCCCAGATCCAAGTTTAGATTTGCCTCCAGGTTGTAAATCGAACCTAATGAGAGAAAATAATGCATGAAAAATATTGAATGGATCATTACATAAGGAATACAAAAAAAATTAAGAAAAATAAAGTGATAAACTTCCTGAGACGCATACTCTGCTGAATTTACATCACAATCACAAGGAACATCAGGATCGGCCAACATATTTTTCACTGCAGTATTTTTAAATAAGCAAGTGTATGGTTCTGGATGGACTTTCTCAAAATATTGTTGCTGTAACTGCTCTCGTTGTGGGAAAGTCTAATATAAAACATACAAGAAAGGATCTATCAAACGAATGAAAATACTAAAAATCTTGAAGGGAAGGGAGAGAGGGGTGGGATGGAAAATTGCTTTTCCACAAATGCAATTGAAGAAACCCACCCCATCCCCCCAGTCAACAAGAAAATAAAGAAAATCTCAACATGGGTTCTTTCATTAAAAACACAATTAAGTAGACAAAGTCTGCACCAACCTGGTAGAAGGATAAAAAATTACGTAAACAAGAGCTCAACATTGATTTTTTTTTTTTATCAAAAAAGTTGTAGTTATGTGACGAACTTACTTGGGATGAAGGATCAAAATTCTTGATGTAATCTGAAGCAGACTGTTTAAGAAACTGCAAGACAAAATTTGACAGCAATGTGATCTCTCTCATGTATAGGAATTACTTTGTAACTATAATCAACTATAGACATCAACAAGCATCTATCCAACCCAACGGCAAAGCACAGGGACCAATTCTTACACAATAAACTCATACAAAAATAAAACAAATATCCCTCTACAATAGCATATTACAACAAATGCATGCATTTTTAAGAACCAAAATTCTAACATGTTTGGCATAACCATGTCCCTATGCCCCGCAAACTGACAAAATGAAGAAAAATTAATTGCTAGGACAAGGAAGTCCAAAGTGATTTTCCCTTTGTTTAATTCCTTTCTTCCCTTTTATGCACTTCAACAGCTTTAAGAAATATAGGTTTTTGCAAGCAGATTCCTAAAAAAATTCAAGTCCCTGTCCTCGATTGGTGATCAACACTTCTCACATATGAACATGAGTCCAAGAAAATGCAACTAAATTTGAAAATTTCCCCACTCCTTGAAAATTAAGGGGGGGGGGGGACAGGAGAGAAAACCAAACCTCTGTACTGCTGTTGGAGTTGCCAGAGCCTAGCAAATGGAGAATAAATGCCCTCTCATACTTTTCAGATACATCATCACATGCAGCCTGTAATATCCAGAAGACATAAAAGGCAAGCAAAAGAAAGATATATAAAAAATTTCTATCAAACAAGGAAAAGCCAGAAATAGGCATTATGTGATTGTTGAAGTCATATAAGAATTAGGTGAAAAATAGGGGAAGATTAGACGGAGAAAAGACAGAATAGAATATCATTGACAGTGGCAAGAGGAAACAACTAGTTCTTTATATTCCTCTTTCTTTCGGTTCTCATGAGGTTGAAAGCAACAGAAGAAGCAACATACAAGGAGGCACAATTGTGCTCTCTCAATACATGGTTATCTCACATGGTTATCTCTTCATATGAAAACATATAAAGAGAAACATTTGCTGAACTTGCTAAAATGAAACATAATAAGGAGAAAAAAAAACCTAGGCTTACATTTACAAGAAAAGAAATAAATGGGTTTGCAGCAGACTTTTGAGATGAATAGCTTCGGTGAAGAATAGCAAATGCAACCAATCGCTCAGTAGAACTAAGCATCATTTTGTCCTGGAATTATTCAAGCTCCAGTTAGTCAGTAATCAATCAAACATGTTAGTAGGACATCCTCACTTTGTTAAGAACTATTATAAAACTCTATTAAAAGTTACAAATGTAAATATAGCAGGCAGCCTAGCATTGTGAGGAACCAAATGCTAAAAAGGGAGATATTACCTCCAACAGGATGTTACACATGGATAATACTTACCCCATCCTTTATCCTTAAAAAATAACGATTCTATTTTCATTATTTCCAATTGAAACCATAGCTTTAAAAAATAATATAACGTTAAATAAAATAAAAGGAAAATTGATAGAAACACTTCTATCTGCCTTTGTCCCTTTCTGATCTGACGATCCTTCTTTGAAGCTTGGCTTGATTGATTATAAAAGTTAACAAAATTCCATCCATCCTATCGGGAACAGAAGGGATAGCGTTGTCAGACCCGCACTGTTTAAGGTTTGGTATGGAATCGCTCGTTATATAGGATAGGGGCTTTCTGCCCTTACTTGGATAACGGGTACAATCGGACTGGAACTTCAACCTCAATTTATGAGACCGGGTCTAACAGCATATTGATTTAGGGACCTTGCTATTGTCACTGTCACGTTAACCTCCCTAAATACGATAGGAAAGAGGAGCACAGGCTTTCGAGCTATCTTCCAACCTAAAGGGCCCTCACTGTATGAAGACCTACAACAGGGTACACTGGCACTTGTTGAAAAAGCTGTCACTAGTTGCCAAAAGCCTGCTCCTTACCTAGAGGGTTCCAAAGTGTTTTTAATAACTAGGAATTTTGCCTTAGCTAAACCTATAATACCTGACAAGATTTAAACATACTGAACATATTCCGCTGGTAAAATAAAATTCATAATCTATAGCACCTGAATGAAGCACTTCCCATGTTCTTGCTAACCAACAATCAAAACCAAATCACCATCCAAGATGCCATAAATTGTATAATAGTCCAATGAATATAATGATATTATATATAAGACATTATGATAGTAAACAGACATTGTACATTGTTTTGCTTGAACTTAAACAACCAAAGTACACTAGAGTAGCAAAGGAAAGAAATTATCACTCACAATTTGTAGCAAAACAATTATATATCTTCAAAAGTGAAGATACGTGGAGAAAAATAACCTAACTAAAATGGAGTTCCTCGTCATTTTAAATGTTCATTGCTCACATTCATGAACCAAACTTGGGAAAAGATACATAAAATTCAGTAACATTTTCTCCACATCACTTGACTCAAAAACAAAAAACTACAATTAATTGAATTACACTTTATATTAACCCTCCAATTTTTTTTACTCCTATTATATCTCCTGTTAAACCAAACACGCCAGATATATAATTAGATCTCTATTTATTTAGGATTTGTTTTTTATGAGCAAGAAGTGCAAGTAAGGCGGAAGGTGGAAGGTGGGTGGAAATTGGAAAAAAGGAAAGAAACGAGTTTTACTCAAATTTGGTTGAAGCAATAGCCATTTATGTCCATATTAACAAAAACAATCTTCCCAAATTGGAAGAATATATTAAAAAATGATCCTTTTGTGAGTTAAATATTGCAGATTTACATTGTAGAACACTTTTCAATAATACCACGCCATCGATTAAAACAAAACTTTTCTTTCCATCACCACTTATCCATATTTACTACCAAGCAAGGGTGAAAAATAAGAAACCAATTTTCTTTCCTTTCAAGGTTTTATCCCCCTCCTAAATCTTAACTTTCTCTTTGAAATCACTACTATAAAGCAAGGCTTACCAACAAATTAGAATAATGATGAAGCCTATAGATCATAGGAAGGAAAAAATAATTGAATAATCACAGTAATTGAACTTGTTACCAACAACAACAATAACAACAACAAACTAAGCTTTATATCCCATAACTCTAGGCCAGTTATATGAAATGCCAAAAAAGGAACCATTTTAGATCGTAGTTTTGAATCTTCTTGCGCCACTCATTTCTATAAAAAATAACATTTTCATCTACTTTATTAACCCTCATATCATTTCTTACTACTTGCATCCACATCTTTCATGGTCTACCTCTAGAAGTTTCGATCTCTCCTAAATCTACAAACTCATTTCTCCTAACTAGTGCACATATAGCCTTACATTTCACAAGTCCAAACCATCTCAAACAGCCCTCTTTCATCTTTTCCTCAATTCAGACTACCTCTAATTTTCTTGAATCTCTTCGTTTCTAATCTTATAGCTTCTAGTCTTACCACACATCTGTCTAAACATTCTCATCTCAGCTACGCTTAAGAATTGAACTTGTTACCCAGAGACTAAAATTCATTTGCCAAATATACAAAACAAACTCGACTCCAAAGAACCACAGATCTAAACTAGTTATGACGATTAGCAGGGGCAATGAGCATTCTATCTGATATCTATACGATTCCTGTTTCATTAACCCAACTTTCAAGTTCAGATTCTCTACATGTTACTTAATTCCCCCACAATCCAGCACAACTAAGTAACCAAATTTCACAGCAGTTAGCTAACTTTCTCCATTTAAATGGCAAAATAAAAAACTGAAAGTTTCTGAACAGCTAAAAGGAATTTGGAAATGAAACCTAAAAGTTTTAGAGCGGGAAAGAGAGAAGTTAAATTCATATCGGAAAAATCTTAAAACCCTAGAGAGAGAAAGTGAGAGAAAGGAAAGTTTAAAAGGAAAAAAAAAAAAAAAAAAGGAGGAGAAGCGAAATGACCTGCAATAAAAGAGAGGGAGAATAGCAGACATTAAATTGGCGGAGCATGGAATTGCTAAAGAATTCGGTGACAGCCTCTTCGATTGATTTTTGTTCAGATGAGGATTTCAACATGTTGACTATCTTACACTGTTCTTCCAAATTCAGCATCTTCTTTCCCATTCTCTTCTTTTTCTTTTCTGAATTATATTTGTCGTATTTAACAGAAGAGTATAGATTTTCTTGAGTCGTTTGTTTTGCTATGAATCCAAAGAAGATTTGTTTTTTATATTAATATATAAACCCTTAAACAAGAATTTATGAGTAATGCCACTGCGTTGGCTTTATGGGCTCTGTCAGGCTCAATACGATTGCCTCTACATTTTGGGGTTAACATCCAATACTGCTGCGTAGGTAGTTAGGCCCAATGTCACTATAATTTTGTATTCTTCACTTTTAATTAGTCAATTGGTTGCACGTTTTCTTTTCTCTATATGATAAATTTTGCATTCGAGTAATGTTTATTTTATATTTAATATATGTAAAATATAAAAATTTTATATTATAATTAGTATAAATTGATTAAAAATAAAATATATTTTTTATTTTTATTAAATCAATATATACTTTTTATTAAAATTTTAAATTATATTACTTTTATTACTAGAAATAAACTTTTTGTTAGTTAAGTCAAATCAGATTTTCTTTTATAGATGAGATTATGAATTAGTAAATTTTTCATAATTAATTATTGTATTATTGTATTTTACAAAGAAAGCTACAATATAAGGATAAAGGAAAGAAATGTAGGTATTAAAATTTAAAATTTAAAATTATTAAAAGCAATCTCTTAAAAATAATTATATGATCTAATTAAATTAAGTTGAATTTATATTATTATTATTATTATTATTATTATTATTATTATTATTATTATTATTAACTAAATATAATGCATCCTAACATTTTTTCAACTTCTAATAATTGCTTTTAGCACACTTTTTTATTCGGTGATAACGCAGCTTTGATTAAAAATATTTATTGTGGCAAACTTATGTTTGGGATCTCTCATTTTTATTTTTTTTATTTACTTAGGAATTGTTTGATATATAAATAATACGACCCTAGTTAAAATATATATGTGGCAAATTTATTAATTTAAGGGTTAAAAAATTAAGTATTAATTTTTAATATTAAATTTTATAAGCATTGAATTTAAATTAAAAAAATTTATTTGATTTTTTTTTTTGGAAAATTAAATGTTGAATGTAAATATATTATTCGATAATTATAAATAATGAATTCTAAAAATAATTCGTTTTAAAAATTACTCATTTTGTATTTTAACCTTATTTTCATTGCATTTTATATTATTCCAAATAAAGTCAAATTCTTAATTACCAATGTTTTATTTGAATGCAAATCTGAAATATGCCATTAAATAGAATTATTAAATATCTATACCCTATTATTAATTTGGGATTCATGAAATTGATTTGGTCATTTGGAATTTAAAGTCTTAATTCCATGCCACATGACTTTAATTTAGATGAAATGGATTGTGTTAAATGGGCTTGGATCTAAGTCATATAATTAAGCTTAATTACTTTTAAAGTATGTTTGATTTAGGGAAAGTTAAGTTGTCTTTTTAAGTTTTCAACTTAGATTAATCTTCTTTTGACTCAAATCGCCTTTTTAAGTTTTTTATTTGAGTTCTCTTTTTTTTTTCATTTCTTTTTTTTTTTCTTATATTTTTTTCTTTCAAGCGAAGTATTTCTTCACAACATTAAAATTTATGGGATTGGACAAATCACCTCCGTCCATCTTCGCTAAGATTAATGCTTCACTCGAAAAAGCTCTTTTTACAACATATGACCCTTCTTAATTCGAAGTTCACGTTTCTTAATTATCATGCTGATTTAAAAAAATTCTTTTCAAAATCAATTCTTCAAAAGTGACAAGGTCGAACCTTTTTATTATGAGCTTTTATTATCTTTCTCTAATATAGTTAACCATGGTACAACGCTTTCAATCCTTTCTTTTTAATGAAATTCAACAACTTATAGTGCTTTTGAATTCATTTGGCTTTTTCCAATCCAACTTTCCTTATGATTTTCACTTCCACTAGCAATACAGATAAACCAAAGAAAATAGGGTTACCCTAGTAGGTACATATTAATATACGATAAACATGTAGAGTAAATGACAATTTATCATGCCGATCTTTATATGTCGCGATCATATTCTCAAGAATCCTTTTTATATTCTTGTTCGTAACTTCAACTACACCATTTATCTTTAGACGGTATGACACATAGTTATGATACTTGATCTTGAACTGAGAATATATCTCCTTCATCATCTTACTATTCAAGTTCTTAGCATTATCTAAAATAATCCTCTTTGAAAGTTTATATCTACAAACGGTCTTTTTTTTTATGAACTTACAAACCATAGATCGTATCACCTTTTCATATGTGTTGCTTCTATCTATTTCGTAAAGTAAACTATCATCACAAAAATGAATCTATGCCCATTTGAGGCTTTTGTAGTGATGAGATCGATAAAATTCATGCTCCACATATAAAATGGCCAATTTAGTGCGAACATATGTAAAGTAATAGGCGGGGCATGAATTTTATTAGAATAGATTTCGCACTTATGACATTTTCGAACATACTCGATGTAGTCACTTTTCCATTGTCAACCAGTAGTATCTAGTTTTCATGATTTGTCTTGTAATAATATGTCTATTTACATATGTCCCACATATTTTATCATGCACCTCCCCAATAATCTTTTTTGCCTTGATCGCATTTAAACATCTTAATGGCACCTGATCTCAGCTTATTTTATATAAAATATCTCTATCTAGGAAGAAACCCATAGCTAGTCTCCTAATAATTCTTTTATCATTTTCAGTTACTTGGTTTGGGTATTCTTAATTTTTAATGTACTACAGGATATCATGATACCATGGCTTCCTATCATTTTCCACTTCCACATTAGAACAATAAGTTGACACATTCTTAACATCTAATTTGATGGGTTGAATATCAGTGTTATCATCATTTCAGATCATTGAGGTCAAAGTAGCCAAGGCATAAGTAATCTAATTCTATTTCACAAGACAAATGCTTAAACTAGATAGCTTCAAATTGCTTACTCATCTCAAGATATACTTATGATATAGGATGAGTTTTGAATCTCTTGCTTCCCATTCTATTTTCAATTGATATATTATTAGAGCTAAGTTCCCAAACACCTTCAATACTCAAATCCTTTTATCTATAGCAACATATAACCCCATGACACAAGCCTTATATTCGAAGATGTTATTAGTGCAAATTGAAATTCAACTTATTATCCGATAGTAGCGTTCTTTAAAAGATATCAGAATAGCTCCAATACCATGCCCTAAAACGTTAGCAGCTCTATTAAAATACATTCTCTAAGACTTTTCATTATGCTCCTCCTTATCAAGTTGAGAGGCAACCATAAATCTTCATCAAGGAAGTCAAGCTTCATTGGTTCATAGTTTTTAATAGTATGATCTGTGAGGAATTTGGCTATGACACTTTCTTTAATTGTCTTCTAGCTTACATATACGATATCATATTCTAAAAGTATCATTTACCAAAGTTTCATGATTTTAACAAAAACAAATTCATCAACTCAAAATTCAACCACATTCATATTCATAAAAAAAATTAAGTAAAACTCGTACAAATTCATATCAATTCATGATACCCACTTCAAATTGATAAAAACCCAATCAAATTTGTCAAATTTGAAGGCTTTTTCCATGTGGGTGCAGTAGAACTAAAGGCATTTGTTGTTTTTCAGTTTTTGAAGTATAAGAATTATTTGTGAATAATTAAAGAAAGATTAAAAAACAAAACAAAAGGATGAAGAATTATGAGAGATCTTTGGGTTTTTATGGTGGTTATGAAGAAAAATATAGAGAGATGGAAGAATTAAAAAAAAAGAGATAAATATTTGGAGATACATGTGGGTTTTTTTTCGAAGGAGACGAAGAAAAATGAAACTTTGAAGGTGAAACAAAACTTTAGCAGAAAAAAAAGAAGCTGAAATATCCCATAGTTCTTTAGTGCTTACCCATATCCCACGAACAAAAGAAAGATGGATGCAAAGGCAAAAAGGATATGGAAGAATAAAAAAAAATGAAGAATATTGTGAAAGAGTTAAAAGTTTGAGAGAGTTGGTGGGTTTGTCAATAAAAGCTTATGGAAATTGTCTTCCGCTGGAGACGAGCAGAAGACAATTTTTGACTGTTCTGCCTTGATTTTTTGTTAACTTGAAAATATTTCTATTGACCATAATATTTTTACCATTCCAAACATAAAAAACCATAAAAAATTTCTTTCAAAAACTATTTTCATGGCTACTAAATGCAGCTTAAAAAGATGTTACACGTATAAATTCTTTTGAATTTGTAACTTTTCAATAATGATATGTTAATTGATCCAAAAGTTTATCTCTAAAATAATAAAAAAAACTCTCCCTACTATAGTGAAAAGAATCTTTCCCTTGAAACAAAGATAATAATAACATAAATTTAAAATTTGTCTTATGTGTCATTAAAGAATGTCAACATAAACACTCATGTTAGCCAATTTCATTACGTTTTATCTTATACGTCATTAAAATGTGATATAAGAATATCACATGTGAACTACGAGAATTAATTTAATATGTAATACAATTTTGGTTTATCAAAATCAACATCTAAAATTGCATCCAAGCTCGAACTTATTTAAATGATTACGACGAAAATAAAATCAGTTATTGTAATATTGAGATTAAAATTATAAAATATATATATAGATGTAAAAGTAATGATGGTAATAAGATGAATTGTAGTGAGAAAAAAAAATAATTATCAAAGTTATTAGTTTAAAATTTATATATAATTTAATTTAAAGGGTAAAACTAAAAAAAAAAAAAAACAATTAATCACTGGACCAAATAATCCAATGAGTAATCGGTAAATCATTCGTTTGGATCCACTATACGTTGGCATGTAAAAAAATCATTCATTTGGATCTTGGTCCTCTACGGTTGGCGCCGGTTTACATGCTAACCACACCTCCACTGGACGTACTTTAGCATCCTTAGCAAAGATAATTGGCATACTTAATATGCTTCCCAATGAACGTGTGACCACTTTTGTTCAGATCAGCGGCTGACACAATGAAAAAGTGAAACACTGGTTTTGAAATCCCTTATCCGCCAACAAAAATAAAGGCTTTAAGCGACCAATTCACCTCATTACTTCCTGTTGGGAGGACAACGGGCATTTTTCAAACCAAGGGGAAACAGGTTTATTTCCTCCAAACACTATCCCATGCAAACATTTGAGTAAGTGAACTTCAGTAACCACAAGTGATGCGGCTCCCGCCACCATCCTTGATGCAATACCGAGTTTCAGGATCAAAATCCATTTAGTCAACAATCACTTGAGATTGACATGGAATCCCTCACCTGGAATAGCATTTTTTTTAAACAAAGAAAATAGTAGCATGGTAATAAGAAAAAAATTATAAGTACTGAGATTTGAATAAACTAATTAAATGTAACTTCTTAAAAATGATTGTGCGGAGCCACAAACCAACTAAATTATGAATTTACAAAGAAGCACATACAAATTGGAAGTCGATTGTAGACGATGGCTACTATATGCAGAAAATATCAGCCATCTTAACAATTGAGTTCTTCGATCAAAAGAGGAAAAAGAATTATCTTTGACATCCTCGTAAGAATTGTCTTTTCAGTTCACAAGATCACTAAGGCCACAAACTGAAGAAGGCAGATTTATATAAACAAGTAATAAAACAGAAAATCTACCTGAGAAAATCAATTCATATATGTTCTATGCACTTGTCAATAAATCAAATGCAAAACATTTGATTTAATGCAAAGACAAATCAAAGGAGCAGTTTCTTTTCTAATATTAGAGGCAACATCTAGAGACAACCACCCCTCAGTGCAAGGACAAGATGCAGCACAGAGCCACCCTCAATATTATAGTCACGAGCTGTCTTGTCATCTGCAAGTTGCTTCCCGGCATATATAAGCCTGCAACCAGTGGTCAAAACACTTGCATTTACATTAAAATAGCAAGTTGGCCAAAAATAAGCATTAAATTGATAAGTGTTAGCAACCAGGAGACTGCATTATCAAATTAATCCAAGACCAGGACAGTCAACCAAAAAGCCGGCCCTGATACGGATTGATGATCCAACGGCCCAATCATGTCTTACCTCTTAATAAATATGGAATCTAACAAATATGTAAAACTAAGAAATACTTTCCTGATAAATTTGGCATAAAATATCTAATAAATGAAGAATATACTAAATTGCATCAGATAACAGAACATTCTCAAGAATCAGTGTTATATGGAAGCACGTAAAATCATCAAATTTTACATCCAGTATAGAAAAAAGTTTTGAAAAAAATAGTACCGAACACACATGTGAAATAAATAGTACCAAATACACGTGAAGATATATAACCAAGTACCAAGTTCCCCCAAGAAATTATATTAGCCAGTGGAAAATTATAAATTAAGAATTTCCAATGAAAACCACAATATAGAAGTATTTCATTAATCAAGTAACTCCTACAGTGACTCAGTAAAATAATAGGAAAAGACTGAAATGGATACCTTTGCTGTACTGGAGGAATCCCTTCTTTCTCTTCAACCCGTTCCTTAATACGATCAATAATATCAGTTGGTTCGATATCAATTTCAATTTCTTTCCCAGTGAGAGTCTTCACCTTGATCATAGTACCTCCCCTAAGCCTTAAAACAAGGTGAAGTGTGGATTCCTTTTGGATGTTATAATCAGCCAGAGTTCTTCCATCTTCAAGTTGCTTACCAGCAAAAATCAACCTCTGCTGATCAGGAGGGATGCCTTCTTTATCCCATATAAAAACAGTAGGCTTTGCAGTTCCGTAAGAGAAAAAAAAATACGGTGAAGATTAAGCTTGGTGATAATAGGAGGGAAAAAGAAAAACCTGAATCTTGGCCTTGACATTGTCGATGGTGTCGCTGCTTTCGACCTCGAGTGTGATAGTCTTCCCTGTTAGGGTTTTGACAAATATTTGCATCCTTTTCTTCGTTTACAATTCCTACTACATGTTAACACAAAAGATATATAGTTTCTTTGAAGAGAGAAATAAAAGCAAAATTTGCAGTAACTTTTACCTCTTGATTCTCGGAGAGAAAGAAGACAGCAGCTGCTGCTTCCAAAGACTACTTTCTGTGATTGGAATTGGAGAAACCCCAGCCCCCCCCCCCCCCCCCCCTTTATCTTAGCGGACTTTGTTCATCTCAGCTTTGGTTTTGTACTTGACTTCATATTGCGCGTCAGCCCTATTTTATATCACTTTTACTTTACCTTTTTTTTTTTTTCAACCTTTTGGTATTGTTCGAGTTTCCTTGAATTTTGTTTGGTTTTATTTTTTTTCCGATGATTTTAAAGTCCTTTTTTTTTTAATGGTCTGATGAATTTAAAACTTTAATTTTAAATAATTTATAAAAAAACAAATTTTTATTGATAATTTTTTTCTTCATTCTTAAACTAAACTGATAGAGGCATATAATAGTCAAAAGAGCATAATGATCTTTTTTTCTGTCTCAGTGTTCAGCAAATAATTAAAAATATCTTGATCATTTGTATCAACTTAATATGTCAAGTCGGTTTGACATCTCCAATGCTATCTCAGCTTGGTTATGTTATAATTATTCCCTTTTTGTCTTTCTTAACTTACCTATAAATATGAAGATTCAAGCACCATGAAGCTAAGTTCATCTAACTCATACTTTTCTCTTCTTCATATTTTCTCACCTCTTTTTCAATCTGATCCTTACTGACTTACGCGTCAGAGTGCAAACGCAAGGAACACCTCTTGCCTTTACCCCTAGCCGTTCCTTTCTTCTGCCTTTATAGAAATACCTTTAGGTTAGAGCTCGGCATCAATATTTGGCACGCTAGGTAGAGGATCGACATTTTCATAATAGCTAAGCCTAAAACAATGCCACCTAAAAAAAGAACCTAAGACGAAGGAGAGATAGTCGTTTCGGTTGGAACAAAAACTCACTAAAGCCAACATTATGTCCACCCAGTTTAACCACAAGCTGGGCCAACCATGGAGCAATTTTAAGCCCTGACCGAGCAAATACAAGCCCTTAAATAAATGCTTCAAACTATAACCCCACCACAAGTTTTCAAAGTGCCAAACTTAGTCACACTGGGCCAATAAATTGTTGTCAGGCAACCAAGCTACGAAAAGGTGAAAGCCTTTTTGGCTTTCAGAGAAGAAAAGCACACCAATCCAACCCCTCATAGCTCTAACTATAATTATACACATGCCATAACCTAGAAGTCCAAATAAACAAACTATGAACCTTAACCAAACAGAGATTTGGAAGCTTGGATGTTGGCCATAAAGAAAGAACTGAAAATAAAACTAGCAGCATTTGAGAATGAGCTTAAATTTTTGGCAACCTCACACTTTACCAAAGAGATCAATAGAGCCATACCTCTCAAGGGATTCAAAATGTCAACCTTAGAGACATATGATGGTACTTCTGACTCCTTTAATCATTTAGAACTTTATAAAACTAACATGATGATACATTGAGCAAATAAGGCTCTAATGTGTAAAGGTCTAGCCACTACTTTTAAAATAGTAGCTCGATTTTAGTATAGTAGTCTAGAGCTGATGTTGATCATTACTTTTAAGAAGCTCAGCCACTCATTCCTGTCTCAATTTGTGAGTAGTTGAAGAGTTAAAAAAATGACCTTAAGCCTTATATCAATCCATCAAGGGCGGAATGAAACTTTTAAAAGTTATGTCATGCATTTTAACGTGAAAGCTCTATAGGTAAAAAATCTAGAACAGATGGACGTTGTTACCATATTGACTAATGGAATCAATGATAAAAGGTACCACTCAAAGTTAACATTATTGTTGAAGCCACCCAAAACTCTGACCGATGTCCTACAATAGTAGAGAAATACATCAACACTGAAGCTAAAATGAAAACAAACCGATGTGAAAGAAGCTTATTCCTCTTCTTCAGTGATCAAGGTAAGAAAGATTCATCCCCTCTTTTCGATCATGAAAAAGGTAAAGAATTCTACGAGTCTTCCCCAAGAGGGAGACAACATAGGGCTAGAAGCCCAATTAGAGAAAAAAGCTATATTGCACTAAATACCTCTCATGAGAAGATTTTGATGCAAATTGAAAGAAATCTTGACCTCAGATGGCCTAAGCCATTAAGATAGAATATAAAGTGAGATCCGACCAAAAGATGCACCTTTCATTGGGACATTGGTCATAGTACAAAAGATTGTATTGATTTGAAAAATAAGATTAAAACCCTGATTAAATGAGGTCAATTGAAAAGGTTTATAAGACAGAAAAGACAAGACTAGTTTAAAAGAGACTACAAAATGACCACAAAATGCCAACTCGAGACAGATAAGAAAAATCAGATCAGGGAAAAAAGGATGCTCAAGGAAAAGAGTTGAATAAGGAAAAAGGCAAAGTTGATAATAATAGACCAATTACTAAGGTGATTAACATGATCACAGGAGGTAACTCCACCTCGATAAAAAAGAAGTTTATTTTGGGCTTAGAATGGCAATAAGCATCTTAACTAAGAAAAAAAATTGGAGAGATAAGTCGATCTCGTTTAGCTTGAAAGATTTGAAAGGAATCCAACACCCATATGATGATGCCATAGTGATTATAATCTTGATCTACAACTATGTGGTCAAAAGAATCCTATTTGACAATGGGAATTTGATCGCCATTATGTACTATAACTGTTTCAAGAAAATAAAGATTGGCAAATATCAATTGAAGTTGATCACCACAACATTAGTGGAGTTTAAAAATGAACAAGTACCAGTAAAAAGAACCATCAAGCTCTCGATTTCTCTAGGAATAGAACTGGATATGATCATTTTAATCGTGAAGTTTATGGTAGCAAATATTTTGATTACCTTAAACATGATATTAGGCTGACTTAAACAGTCTATTATACGGCTCATAGGCTCAACTTCCTACTTAAAAGTGAAATTTTTAACACCTGTAAGGGTTGAAAAAGTTTGGAGAAACCAATCCACAGTATGACAATGTTACGTTATAATGATGAAAGGTAGGACTATGAAACAGACAAGTAACTCAGCCAATATTAAAGTGGAAGACAAAGAGGAAATGACACAAAAAGTTGACAAAGAGCAAAAAACCAACAATGAGAGCATAAAACGTAAGATCAATCTAAGATAAGTGCACTTTTAAGCCGCTCTAAGCTCTTAAGCTTCGTAAAAGTTTAATTTTGTTCTATTTTTGAAATTTTTTGAGACAACAGTAGAAGTGATCGAGCTCTTAAGTCGATTTAAAAAATCAATGTTAGTTGGATCGAGCTAATATGCTGGCCAAAACACAACATTAAATGAAGCATACACTTCATTTCTACTAATACGCTCAATAAGTTTTTTAATATACTAACCATTATGTTGGGACCTTTTTTCGTTGGAAATGATCTTAACCTAATCGAACAAAAAAAATAATTGATCAATGACTGGACTCAAATGAAAATTGATCTAAGCCAGCTGAAGACCTTATGACAATTTTGTTCTGAAACAATACTCCTAAAAAATACATGTGGATCGAAGCCAAGCTCTAACATAAGGACCAAGTGATTCAACTTATAAAAGATAATGCTAACCTATTTGCCTGGACACCGTCTGATATGCCGGGGATTGATACCAAAGTAATGGTTCATAAGCTACATACTAATCTCAAGGTAAAATCAATTTAGTAAAAGAAAAGAGCTTTTGCCCTTAAAAAACAATAAGTCATTGAGGAAGACGTAGACAAATTATTACAAGCTAACTTTATTAGGGGATCTACTACCTTGAATGGATAGCCATGTGGTCATGGTAAAAAAGTACAATAAAATATAAAGAATGTGTATAGACTTTATCGACCTAAATAAGGCTTTCCCATCCCTGATGCTAGGAATTATTGGTTGAAATGTTGGAGATTAATAACATACCAAAAAACTCATAAAAAAAACAACTCATAAGAATTTGATAATGACAGAATATAGTTATTAGATTAAAAGAGATAGAAGTTAACCACTAAAACTAGATACTATGGGATATAGAAACATCACCATAAGAATTCTAATCAAGGATATAGAATAATAGAAGTGCACCACTCTAAGAAATCCACCTAAAAGATACAAAACTTGAAAAACAATCTAAAAGATTACTTAAGGATAAAGAAAACTTTATTTTGTCTTGTAACAAAGAATGATAGAAAATAAATAGGCTAGAAACATCTCTTCAAGCATGGGAACATCACAAATTAAATTGCTAGAATCATACCTAAAATCATGATTTGCATGTGAACATAATTATCTGTCTATGTACTCATACAAATTATATGATAATGAATTTGATCATAATCCCATCTATCTTTATGTTTTTTTTTTCTAGCTAGTGTGAACACAATCTTCTTATTTTAGCCTACCTTGTTTTTGTATTTGTTTAGTGGATTTGGACCAAGAACAAGACCATTTTATTTTTGAATAAATCTTCTTTAGTCTCAGCCCGAATTATAAGATATGTTGGCATTCCGGTGTCACTCATAAACATAGATCAACTAGTGGATGATAATGCTAAGCGTAACCTTCTCAACTTTATAGATGCTTACTTTATCTACAATCAAATCAAAATGTTGAAAAAAGACAAGGATAAAATAACTTTTATTGAGAAATGCTAGTACTACTACAAGGTCATACCCTTTAGATTAAAAAATGTAAGGATAACCTACAGCAACTGGTCAACAAAGTATTCAAAGACTAGATCGATCACAATATGGAGGTATATGTAGATGATATGATAATCAAGAGTAAGAGTTTGACTGAGCATCTGAAAGATTTAGAAGAAATCTTCAATATTTTGGAAACGTATAATATGAGGCTTAACTTGAGTAAATTTACTTTTGGGGTTTCTTCAGATAAGTTCTTCAGCTACATGAATAACCAAAGAGGGATAGAGGTGAATCTTAAGAAGGTTTAGGCTATCCTAGAAATGAAAGCATCAACCTCAGCAAAAAAAGTACAAAGGCTAACAGGTAGAATAGCTGCACTCAGGCGATTTATGTCCAGATCAGCAGAATGATGTCTACCATTCTTCAAAATTCTCAAGAATATTTGACTTTAGATGGACTCTTCAATAACAAAAAATTTTTAATGAACTTAAAGAGTTTTTATC